CGATTCTCTATGAGTGATTCAGATTCTCATGTTTTGTTTGGAAACCTGTTGATCTGGACGTCACTGAAACCACCGAATAAAGCCGTGTAGAGTCAGCCTCACACACTGTGTGCATCGCGTTGCCGTGGAAACCTGGCATGTATTGAGTTGGTGATGTAGAAAACCTGCATTATGGGACAGTGTCAGACCTAAATGCACTAAAACACAACGTCATGTTTAAATATATGAAGTTTAACAGCTCTAACGTGCAGCTGTCAGTTAGAAAGGATCAGCTGCGCTTTTTAAAGTCATGAACTTTTACCTTCCTTGTTGTTTTAAAACAACCTGTTGACTGAAGGAGACGGGATACGATTGGTCCATCTTGTGCAGAAGAGGAATGCCTCCCCCTGGATTCTTGAGACTTAAAATAAATCCAGGCCATCATTCAAACAACCGAGTGGGTATTATGACCAGTCGCCTCCCTTTAAACACATGATTTGTATTTTAAAGTCTGGCCGAGCTTGCAGCTTCTCCTCCCCTGGATGCAGTGAAGGAGTCACTCAGCCTCCTCCTCAGTCTGACGTCGGCTGGTATCTGACAAAACAGAATTAATCCAAACATTCCTTTGTTGTCGTTGCACAGCGTTTGCGATGAATAGAACTGAGCTGCTGTTGATGCATCCACGACATCAGACTACATTTTTAAATGTGTGGTGGAAGATATAAAAAATCTAGTAGAAGTGTATCTACGAGCACAGTGGGACAGCTTGTTTTGGGTGTATTAAGAACTATAAAAACAGCAGTGTGGGATTGCACATTGCTTAAAAGTCGTACAAAAATTACAGAATAGGTGAAGGAGTTGTGTGTAAACGTGTGGGTTCGGTTGTACAGAAACGTGATGGAATGTGACACAATAACAACAACCTGAGTCAAAAACTGGTTGAAAATGACAAAAGTTCAACATAAGAACCACTTGTTGGTTAAAAAATGTTTAACTAGGATAAAATAAGCACTTATTAATCCCACAGTGGGGAAATATAGCAGCAAAGATAGTGCAAACATCTCAGGAATGTCCTGTAGAAATAAATGGACATAAATACAAGTATCATTGTTGAAGAACTTTCTGAGGGCACAAATTTAATGTAAACGCAATTAGAAACTATTTTAAATAACGAACATCCGTCTGTTTTGGCAGCCAAAAAGTTATTGTTGCGTTTTATGACCTGAATCTTTTAATCTCTCTCTCCCGTGACGGTGTTTACGTAGCGGCCTCGGCGGCTCTCTGCAGGGCCACTTACAGCCCAAACGCTAGATTACAGCAAGGACAGGACAATAACTCCTCCCCCTCGATTCAAATCCCCCTTTATAATCCCCGAGGAAATCTCCTGCGCAGCACAAGGTGGAGTGTGTTTGTTCCTACTGGCAGGAGGAGGAGGAGGAGGAGGAGGAATTACCAGATTCCTCAGAGTTTTCGCTGCTGTCAGGCTGATGGGAGTGCTGGTGTCAAAGTGCAGCCTTTTTTGTGTGTTTTTGAAGGAGGGTGCTGGTGAGAAGCAGCGCAAAGACAAACAAACAGGAAACTGTCTCAGATAGTTGGTGAGTTGACACATTTTGCCTCCTTTTCATTAAAACTTAGCGAAGCAAGTCACTGAGCAGCGCAAAGCATCCTCGTGTTATTATTTTATTCTTAAATGTGGTCCTTGTTTTCTTTAAAGAAGCCAGAAATCTGCCCGTGCAGTGCTAATAATCCAACCTGTTCTTTCTGGAACCAGAAGTAGATTTAAACATGTTGATCTGCAGTGAAAGAGGTTTTAGTTTTTGCTCCTGCTGCCTGCTTTTTCCTTTCTTTGTCAAGTAAGGGATGTTTGAGACACAGAAACCTCCAACGTTGGTGCGTTTCAATCAGAGTTTTTCTACTCCAGTGAAGTCGTGGAAGTTTCTTTATATCTGGTTCTTCATGGCTGCATAAGAAAAGTCTCAAATACATGAAGAGGCTGAGAAGGTCTTTTTTTTTTTGCATGAGAACAGATTCTTCTTGTATGCTAATTCTGCTAGAAGACATGACAACAAATAGACAATAAAGAGTTTGAGAACACCTTAAAACTGATGAATATCAGCAACAAAGAGACCAAAAATGAGTAACGAGTAGCAAAAAGACTCGAAATGACTTTACTGAGATTAAATGAGACTGAAAATGGCCACAAAGGGACTAGAAACAACCACAGATAGACTAAAAATTATCACAAAGAGACTGAAGTGACAACAAATTATGAGAAATGACAACAAATATACTGGAAAGTACCACGAAAAGATGGAAAATGACAACAAATATACTGGAAATGGCCCCAAACAGGCTGAAATTGATCACAAATAGACTCCAAAGAGACTGTAAATAAGTACACATGGACTAGAAGAATAATTTTAATTTATATTGCGTAATAATCGTTGTTTCTATTTATTTTCTCTTTTGTTTTCCTATTTTGCTTCTGTTCTGTTTACTTCATCGTGTGCACGGTCGCTTTTAATGCCTTCAAACACGAAATCAGTCCCAAATCAAGCGTCTGTTTCTTGTTTTACTGCAAACCCTCACCGTGACCGACGCCAACTGGGTCAGCTGTGTGTTGGGTTTCACGCGTAGTTGTCGTCGTCGTCGTGAATGAACGGAGTCCGGCTCGTATTTCCTGGGAGCGAACGGTGGCGTCTCCTCCCCTGTGGAATATCTGTGACAGACCAGCTGTATCCCCTGACAATAGACCCCTCAGCGCTTTAGAAAAAGAGACATTTGCATTTCCATTGTGCGGCAGCTTGTTTGGAGGCAACGCAACTCTCACTTTTTGTGTCACATTGAACAGAGGGGAGGGAAGGTTTTGGAGTTCGAGGTTGGGATAAACACCGATGACCGCTTTCTGCTGCTGTTGTCGTCTCACATGTTGAGCTTGTTTAGGATGCAGAAGCGCTGCCGGATGCTGTGCTTTGAAGGGATGAAGTGGAAAACTCTTTCAAAACGATGGATTTAAGCTTCAATGAATGAAAGAGATGAAAAGAAAAATGTGGACTGTTGTATTCTGCAGAAGTTACTGTCAAGAGGAAATTATGTTAATTTTATAAACATGCTGGAAACAAAGAGCAGAGCAAAGCAGAGACTGAAGCTTAAACTCTTCATTCTCTGTTCTGGAGTTACAATAGTTAAATCTACTCTTATTTTAATGCAAAAATGAGATGCTGACACAAAAAAACGTCTAAAATTCCTCGTGAAAGCATCCGGAGAGCTCAGAGTGGCGCAGAAACACAACAGCAGGACTTTGACTTCAGTAGAAAATTAAGTTTTTGTCCACCTGAACTTATTTTTGCCATCAAAATGCTGCAAGACATGACTTATTGTACAACAGCCACCTGAACCTTTGGACTTTGGCGTGTTTAGGTTTCTTTTGTGTGCAAAATACATTTAAAAATATATATATTTGGATTTAAATGTTTGATTAGAAAATCCTGGAATTAGTGGGAAAGTTTTATAATGAGCAAAAAAAAGTGTGGAGCTGTAAGGTCATAGAAAAAATCCTAGAAATTGACAATAACTTTAAGGTAAAATGAGGATTGCACTCAATTATAGTACAAATATATCCTCTGTCCACAGCAAGGCAGCTGCAAAATCTATAACTTTGTGTTCAAGCAAACACAAAATTCAACCAACCGGGGCACCGATTTCCAGCAGTTCATCTCCAAATCCTAAATTCTTATTTCAACTCTTTATAAACCCAGAAATTGTTCTTATTGACCCGGATAACATTAAAAGTTCTGTCACCGAACTACACAGCGAAAAGCAAACAAAGAATAAGTAAATAAAAAATAAGTCACATTTTAGCTCTTCACCTTTCTTTTTTCTCTTCGTTCTACAAATACAAAGCAAACGTTACAGCAACTATGCACTGGTTACGTTGGAATATCTTCCTTTCCTTTAATATTTCTTCGCTGTATGCCTTCCTCTATCCTTGCTGTAATTAAAGAAAACGAGATTAACACAGAAACAAGTCGGCCAAAGGGTAAAATCACCTTGACATTGTTGGCACCACATATTTCTGCTCTCCCCTGAGGGATTGTGTGCAACAAACCGACGACAATAAAGACACCAGATGATGGAAGGCGTCACACTTTCTTTATTCCATCTCAGAGACTCCCAGACTGCTGGGAGATGGCCAATAAAGATGTCCCAGTTGAAGTGAGGGTACGGCAGGGAGGGGAAATACCTCCCTGCATTCCTTTGTTGAAAGAATGTGGCGTCTCCATCGTGGCCCGGCAGGGTTAAAGTTTCAATTAGGGCAGGTGAACTCTCATCTGGTCGAGGCATTTCGCTTCTGTCTGACATCTGAACTTGGACAACTTCCCCGAAACCTTTCAAAAAGCCCCCCAAACGCACATTCATCCTTCTCGGTGTCGTTTGTCAAACATTAAGGCGTCTGTATGTTCATCGTACGTCTGTGAAGGGGAATTGATTCACTTAATCAGCTGGATGTCAAGCAGTGTGTGGAGGTTGGGGGTAAGATTTCGTTTCACTCTGGGTATCCAAAAGCTAAGCAGCTAAGCTCTGCCGAGGCCATATGGCGGTGACAGAGCTACCTCCTCTTGTTGTGAAAGCCCTTCACAATCAGAGGCATCGGATCCAACAGCCAGTCAAATGCGCTCTGTCGGCACTAAACACCTGCCTGATTGACATTTTCGACGTTTTGCAGGGAAATCTGCAGAATGTGGTGAATTGAATCTACATCTTGGTTGTAAAGTTAAAGTTCAAAGGTTATCTGGGAGTAAATTGATTGGTTTTATTGGAAATTAATAATTAAACTGTGTTTATTTGTTGCCCAACTTGCATTCAACTACTGCCCTTCACATCATCTGCTTTGTGCTTCTGACTCAAAAAGCTGAAAAACGTGATTTGTGTAATTCTTGTCACCCTTTGTTGTGATTTAACACCAACATGACCTCCTCCTCCTTCTCCCTTCTCTGCATTCCTCATTCGCTGCCCATCAGGGCTAAAATGGTTGACGTTGTATCGCCAAGCACAATGCCGTCAGAAACTGAGGTTCATGTGGCGAGGAGCTTTCTCACCAAGATTTTGCGAAGCTCCATGAGGTACCATCCCGTTAGCTCGCCTCGTCTAGTCGTCCTTACTGGTAGTTTATGGTGAACCCAAGTGATTTGTGGTCGGGTTTATACGCTGTGCTTTCTGTTGTCGTGTTTGCAGTGTGTGGTGTTAGTTGTCCAAAGTAAATAGTTGTACTTTGCACATTTGTGCTGCTATAATCAGTCCTGTCATGTTGTGTTTGTTTTCTTCATGTTAACATGTTGTGAAGTTGACCCAATATAATATTTCTCTCCCTGATGCTACTATGTTGTGCAAACCCAGTACAGTGTATATTCTGTTGAACATGTGTAATTCTTTTCCTTTTTAACATGCGCTCCAGGAAGAACCGCTTCAAAGGGTATGTGCAAGTTTGATGCAAACAAAATAACACAAACGCTATTAGTTGACCTTTGTGAGGTTCTTATCAAGGTGTGGATGGTGACTTATTGACCAGAAGAAGCCCATGTATAGGAAAAGGTCTCGATATGTACACTAATGCAACTGTGGTCCACAATGGAGCGGACTGGAGTTGTCAATGGAGTCTTCTTATTTATTGTCATCAAAATGCAAGAATATCAAAGTCTTAGTTGATGTGTTTAGTCAGGTTTTTTTTTAAATATGGATGTTCATATGCAAATGTTTCTTTGGTTGTTTGGTGCCAAAACCTCCAGGACAAACCCAGTCAACTAACTGTGTGTCTGACTGAAAGAAAGAAAAAGGAAGGAAGGTTGTTTTTGTTTTTTTATTGAAAAAGTCTCTGTGGACTTAGTAGTGGGACTTCCTACAGTATTTGAAGTAACATCCTTTGGTGATAGAGTGGGCCCATGGAGGAGAAGGATATTCGTGCTTGGTACATGTTAAACTATTGAACTCTGCAAAATCATGCCATCTGTCTTCTCCTGAAAGGGTTTGGAAAATGCCAAAGAAGCAGAGATGTCAAATACTCATTGTGTAAAGTGTTCTGTTGCCTCTCTGCCTTGCAGGAAGAATGATCCAGGCTCGCGGCCCCATTCCTGGCACTCCTCCAAGCTGACAGAAGAGGACTCCGAGCCGGCCGGGAGAGAGGCCAACCCAGCACCAGTCTGGCAGCCAAAACATGAAGCAAGGTGAGCTTTTTACCCGGCAATAAACAGAGCAGAAAATACAGTCATCAAACTAAAGCAGTTGTTTTGTTCCTCTGATGATTCACTCCAGGCCCAAAGAGTCAACCACTCAAGGGGACCAGAACAACCAGCATCAGCTAACCAGTCAGTTCAGCTCAGTGAACAACATGGAGAGACTGGAGCGTCCCTCCCATCCCTACCCACCAGGTTGTCTTTCCCCAACTAAATACATCAGCAGTGCTGAGCCGCTCTCTGGACCAGGAGGCAAAAGAGACTCTGGGTTCAGCTGTTTCTCCAGCGGCTCCAGTCCTCCTGTTCTTGACCCCAGCACATCTGGTAGAAAGGGTACCAGCACTGAGAACATTTTCTTCAAGGGCCTTCAGAATGAAGGACCTCAGCAGACTGAGCGGCCCAGGTACCTGCAGCCAACACTGGGGAATGGAGGCTGGGAAGGCTCAAGGGCCGAGGAGCAACCTGCCTCACGGGTTTCCTTTGCAGGGAGGCCAAGCATTGGTCCAGTGTGGCAGGTACCAGAAAAGAAAAAGTCCCAGTCACCTCCTCCTCCCCCTCCTCCCCTGCGCAGTGACAGTTTTGCAGCCACAAAGGTGTTCCCTTACTCTGAAGGGCCTGGTGGTCCAGCAAAGAGCCATGGCAGATCCATTGAAAAACTGACCGAAAGCAACAACCAGAATGGCCTCAGATCTCACCAGGAAAAAACCTCAGAGGCCAGACGTAGCTTCAACCCTTTGCCCACCAAAGACTTGCTCCATCCCAACACGGCAGCTGATCACAACCACAACCAGCTGCATCCCAACAAACTCTTCTCTTTGTCCAGCAATGACGTCAGGCAGTCTCATTATACCCAAGTACCTGCCCACCAGAGGCAATACAGTGACGAAAGCCCCTTCTACTTGCAGACAAGAACAGCTCCTCCCACTAAGACTCAAAGCGTAGGAAGCTACTACCGCAGCCTCCAGGATCTGCCCACAAATGCTTTCAGTCGCAAACAGATACGAAACTCTACAGCGTCGATGACGAGTTTTGCCACAAACCCAAACCTGGAGAGTGGGAGGCACAACAGATACTGGCAAGGCCTAAATAAGCATTCGATCCAGACTGCTGAGCACAAGGCCTGGCAGGGCAAGTCAGAAGGTTGGAGGGGGGAAACAGAAACACCCCTTTGGGTAAACAGCAATGAAGCAGGCTTTCAAAGTTTCATGAAGACAAACGTTAAGGCAAAGTACTCTCTACCTCAGTCCCAGATGCCTTACTGTGAAAATAAGGAGCGCAATGGCCATTCCCATTTGGGGAATGGTCTACACTACGACTACCAGACTTCTGAACATTCTGTTCAAAGCCGAACCCCAGAAGACCCTGCAAAGAGAGGTGAAGGACACTCCAATGACGTGAAAAGACAATACGCAACACATCAAAGTAATGATCATAAGATTAGTATTTCAAGGCACCAAGACCCCTGGGTACCTCAAGAAGACAACAGAATATCCCCCCTGAAAACCCCACTTCTTCACTCCCTGGCCCAGGAGAGTAGGAGTCTTGCGGAGAGGCAATCAGTAGCCTCTACCACAAATGTGATGCCAACCCAGGACGCCAGTGACACCATGGCTACCGGCAGTGGAAAAGCAAATCGCCGCAGTGACCGCTACGCCACCACCCTCCGCAAGGAGATCCAGCAGAAGCGGGCCCAACTACAAAAGAGCCGCAGTGCTGCAACTCTGACTTGTGATGCAGAAGATGAGGAAACAGAGGAGTGGAGATCCATTGAGGCATCTACGTCTTCCAGTGTCTCCTTCTCAACTACCTACAAAGACCACTTAAAAGAGGCACAGGCCAGGGTCCTCCAGGCCACCTCCTTCCAGAGACGAGACTTAGAGCCTCTGGGACCAGAGGCGCCGGTACTTAGAACCTCCAATGGACGCATTAGAGGACGTAAACGGTTCCACCTGGCGAAGAGGACACACTCCTTTTCAGAGCCTGACAAGATAGACAAAGTGGGAGTGGAGGGAGAATCCCAAACAGGCTCATTTGGGGAACGAAGGAAGTTCTTTGAGGCCAAACCGGCCTTCTCCAGGCCTGTACTCAAGTCAGGTCAGAGTGCAAACTTGAGCACAGAACTCGATGAGACAGGCAAACCCAAAGAGAGATCTCCCTCTAGAGAGCTTGAGGAGGCTAACCCATCCACAGACCCCAACCACCTCAGTCCTGGACATAAGCAGGTGTTACTAGAGCAGCAGAGGCTCGGGACCTTTGCTGAGTACCAGGCCACATGGAACAAGCAGAAGAAGTCAACGGAAGCCAAGACGCAAGGGAGGTATCACTCAGCGGAGAACATCTTAGATGCAGGTGCCGAGGAGAAGGCCATCTGCGTCCATGAGAGATCCAGATCTTCCCCCTCTGCAGACTTCTACACACAAGTATGTGGGGTTTTATGTTTCAGAATGACTAAAAGAGTTGTAAGAGTTAGGACATATACCACTTATACTGCTGTTTTGTAATCTGCTGCCTTTAGTTAAGGTTTAGATCCAGGTCTTGAGCAACTTTAACCTACTGTTTATTATAATGGAAAATTTGGGATTCAAATAAATCAACAGTACGCCTCTGCTGTCTTTCCTTTAGATGACAACAAGATCATAGTTTAATACATTGTTTAAACAGGAACTAATACTGTTGTTTATTGTTGAGAAAACAAAGAAACAAAACCTTAAACTTTGCTTTTCTCTTGCAGAATATTCCTTCCTCATGGGGAGACCATCAAGCCCAGCAGAGCAGTTTAACCAGCAGGTAAAACTAAGATTTACCACTTAAAATTGCATTAAAACAAAGAAACTAAAAACTGCATTAAAAAACAAAACAAAATATAGAGTAGAGTAGAGTTAGTGAATAATTTTTCTTCCTTCTGTCATTTGAGTTTCCGTCTACTGAGTTTAATGCTCCAATAGAATTTTAGTGCAATAAAATACCCAAATGAACCAGGTCAAAGAAAAGTCAAGCAGGTGAACGCTGCACTTTCTGTGTGTGTTGTAAAGAAATACCAGACGCCTTCTGGATCACTCTGACTTGTCAGTTTCTCTGGAACATCTCACAAAAAGAAGAGTTTCATGTAAATGTGGAATGTAGTTGGTCTGTGAGATCTTCGTGCAGAAAGAAAACAGGTCTCAGTTTCTCCTTTCAGGTTTCCTAAGCTGAAGGGAAGTGATCGTTTTCCGACACACTAGATCCTTTTTACAACTTTATCTTCTGCTGTTGGAGCTCATGTTGAGGTGAACAGTATCTCCTGGAATCCAGTCATAAACAACACCCAGATTTACAAAAGTGTCCGTCCAGTTTCAGGAGATTTACGGCGGGCGGGGAGTGTATCAGTTTGTCCTTAAGCCGCTGCTGACAAAGAACAACTTATCTGCTGCATACGTGATCAGTGTCTGGGTAAACGTTGAAATTAATCCACAGCAGTGGCTCCTTTGTTGGTGCGACATAAACACCTTTCAGTAAAAACGAAATTCAGCCTCATCTGTCAGCATACCTTTCACTAAGAGGCGTCAGCTAAAGTGCTTCTCAAATTCTTTCTTTCTAGTGTTACACTATGCACCTTTTTAATGGGGAGTCGTATCCAGAATATCATTTCAAAAACTGAATTCAGTTTTCCTCCTCATACCACAGTCCAGACCAAGCAGCCCGGTGAAGAGGTGTTCTCTATCCAGATCAAACTGTAACAACAAAACAAGTTTTGAACTGAGTAATAATACAAAAGTGAATTGTCTTGGCAGAGAATTCAGCACTTTTATGCAAAATGAAAAGTCATGTTTGCAACGGTGATGTTTACAAAAAGGCTCATTGCTGACAATATCAACTGTTATCAAATCATCTTTTACATAACAAGTGTCTGCTGCTGTCTGTGTCTGAGCTCACATGTAATCCAACCTCAGTGTTTGGTTTTCAAACTCGTGGCTCAGGTTTCCTGAACTGTGTCGCCCTCGCTCTGACCAGGCATCACTAAATTCTCCCAAACCTACAAGTCAACAGGCGGAGTGTCCAGTCATGTCACTCCGATAAACCCATGAGTCAACATGAACATCCTCTTGTTCTCTTTGTACATCAGTGTTTATCTTGAGCCTTAGTTTGCAAAATAAGCTGAGGAGCGATAATTTTATCTACTCTGTATGTACTGGATGTACTAAAATCCTCAGAGTTACAGACTTGTTTTTGTCCTCAGAGATGTGGTTTGACTCTGGGGAAAAAAAAAATCCCCTCTGACTCATGTCATGTTGATGTCCAATGTCTTGCCTGTATCAACACAAAACAACAAAAGTTTCCATCCACTTGTAAAGACCATGTATGTCATGTCAGTCTGAGTTTCCACTGACTCTTGTAACTCTGAATTTTCTATGATGGAGTCCATGAAACACATTCTGGAGGGAAGTTCTGTGGACAGATGAAACAAAAATTAAGCTATCTTCCCACATTGAAAAGAAATAAGTTTGGAGGAGAGAAGTTGAGGCCTTTAAGCCCAAGAACACCAAACCTGTAGTCAAGCATGGAGGTGGCAGCATCATGCTCTGGTTCTGTTCTGCTGCCAGTGGACCTGGAGCTTCACACAAAGTAAATGGAACAATGAAGAAGGAGGATCCTTCTTTAGGAAAACCTAAAACCATCAGCAGAAGGTTGATCTTGGACACAGTTGGATGTTTGGACAAGACAATGAGCTCAAACACACATCAAAGTTGTAAACAAATGGTTCCATCAGGCTGGAATTAAGATTTTAAACTGGTCTCCCTAAAGCCCTGACTAAACCCCATCGAGACCCTGTGGACTGTGACAAAGACACCAGTCTGAGTCGAAAGCCAACAAATGAAGCGTCCCGAGATACCACCAGAGGTTTGTGGACAGCTACCAAAAGAGCCTCGATAAGGTGAAAAGGACATTTAACCATATGTTAGCATTGCTGTATTAGATTTTGTTGGCACGGCTGATTTTGTCATATTTCCAAAAGAACTATGAAAGAACCAAAATGCACGACGCATGTGTTTCAGTGATTCCATCACAGAAATCCAACTTTGAAATTGGAGTCACTGGAAACTCACGATTTCAGTGGTGTGCTTGGTCTTTATAGGTGAATGGAAACGTTTGCTCACGGCTGTATGTACCATTCCTTAACACCTTTATGAAAGACAGATTAAATGAGTCTATTGCTTGACCTTATTCTTTATAAACACCTAAAAACTTGACTTTCCACCTGTCATTTTTTACTTGAGCTAACTGCTACAATATGAAGAATAATTTTGTACAATGGAGAATTATTTAACATGTGGGAGACAAAATAATGTCCAAAATGAAATAAGTTGTTCCAGAATCAGTGAATAACGGGGAATTAAGTTCTGTTAATCTCAGATTTAAAAGTTCCTTGTGCTTTGATTCTCTATATTTTTGCAGGTGTGTATTTACTGTCTTGATGCCTCTTTGACGTCTAATATTGACGAGGTTTGTCTTTACTTTGACCTCCAGAGGGAAGGCGGAGAGCCGGCTGCGCTACGAGCCTGACCACAGCCCACAGTCGGTCTCATCGGCCCCCAGAAACGATGGCCTCGTCCCAGGCCTCTCCGACCACAGGACCAAACCAGACTCTGCCAATCCCTCCCACACCGCGCTCTCCGCTGGGCCTCGTAGCCCCAACCCTGGCTCCGAGCTCCCGGCCCAGCCTCCGCAAACCAAGAGCCTCCTGCCGCCACCCAGGCCCCATTTAGGCCCAGAAACCACATCCTTCTCCCAGGAATTCCTCGCTGGCGCCCAGGCAGACCCGGCAGCTCTCCAGCCTGTGTCCGGCGCTGCTGCTGACACCCAGCCCCGTGGCGCTGCCCCGGCCTCCTCCTCCGGCCCCACCCCGGCCGGCTCCCCTCGCCTCAGCAGGACGCCTGGACCAGACGCGAGTAAAGGAGGCGAAGAAAACGAGGGGGAGAGGGAGCCGCCGCCTTCCCGTTCTTCATCCCCGTTTCCCACCTCCACGGCCGCTCTGCCGCTTCCTTCCGCAGATCGGGTTCGGTCGCCTTCGCCACAGTTTGCGCCGCTGAGGCTGACCGACAAACCGCCCGCTGTGTCCGTGCAGGACGACTCACCGCTCAGGTAAGCAGCTTAGCCGCAGAGCTCCAAGTCTCCTCGCTGCCCCTTGTTATGTAAAGCTGCTCCCTTGTGCTGCAGCAGAGGAAGCTTGGAGTCGTAGCTGGAGGTAAACAAGTGCAAGAGAGAAAAGTGACGGTGCAGAAAGACAGACTCGAACGGAACAGTTTGATCTGAATTAACACAAATTTGTAAGTTGCACGAATGAGCCAGAAGCTGCACGTTCCTGAAATGTAAAATGCTGGAGAAAAAAAAAAACGAAAAAAGATCAGAGTTTGATTGTGTTCAAAGTGGAGGCTGTAATTTTGTTAAAGCCACATGACTTCCTCTGCAGTTCAGATCCGTCCTTTCATTACAGTCTTGACTGCTGTATGCGGCTCTGATGTGTATTAAAAGGTACATTTTTTAACCGACTGTATCCCCACATTATGAAAGTGTGACTTATTTAGAGTAATGCATGTTTATTTATTGGTGCAGCTCATCTTAAAGTGGATTCCTCCCCCCAGCAGAATACCTGTGAGCAAGGCATGCAGTTGCAATATGCTGAGAGGCTAAAAAGAATAAATAAGATTTTTGCTTTCATTTTGCACTTAACATTTCACAGGTGGCTGATTTTGAAAATAAGTAAAATTATGAGGATCCAGGTGCTATTCCGTTTATAGTTTCAGTGATTTGATGTGAACATTTGAAAATATATTTGCTTAAAAGAGCATTATGGTGTCATTTAATTAGGATAAAGTGAAACAAATTGTGTGGCGAGTTTTCCACATTAGTCAAGATAAGAGAAGAAATGGACACATGATGAATCATAACCAGAAATTTAGAATAATTTAGTGCAAGTGAAGAAGATCAGATTAGAAAACCGATGCATACGCTGCACAAATACGCTCCAAGAACTAAAAACAAGCAGGAAATATATTAGATCAGATCTGTGGCAGGACACAGTCAGAGTTTCGACTGAGCTGTTTGGCTGTTGAGCAGTGATGTAGAAATGGGAATAAAGGTTTTCTTGTGTTGTTCGGCTCCTGAAGGTGACCGTCCCTCTCCTGTTTTTTCCATAGACGCTCACCTTGATTGTTGCTGACTAACCAAGCTGTTTATTTTAGATTGGAACCGAACCGTTGAGGGAACTTCACTCAGCTGCGACGCCATGTCTGATGAGACTTTTCCATTTGTGCCGACACCTGATTTTCTAAGTTTGATCCTGAGACTTGCTTCTTCCAGGTCAGAGGATGAACCGGTGATGGACGTGAGCAGCCCGGTGAGGAAAGTCCCGGTGAGGATCGTCCACGCCGAGAGCAGCTCGGAGCGGGAAGGTCGGGCCTACCTGCCTCAGAGCGGCGACGCCTGCAGCGTCTTCGAGCCTCCGCCGCGATTCCCCTCCCTGAGCGCCGCCGAGCGCCCGGCCTCCTCCCTGTTCAGCGCCTACACCCGCCAGCAGCCGGACCAGGAGCCGGCTGATGCAGAACGCTGGAAAGAGGACGCCAAGAGGGAGGAGCTGGCCAGGGACATTATGGGTAAAGACAAGTCCCTGGTGGACATCCTGGACCAGAGTGGCAGGAAGACCACCATGGACCTGATGGAGGGACTGTTCCCCCCAGAGGAGCAGATCCTGGAGGGGGCCCAGCAGCGCAGGAGGGCCTCCGCCGGCTCCAGGCTGCCCACCTCGTCCCCCAGGTGGGAAACCACAGCAACAATATTAAGTTCACACTTCCAATGCTAAAGCTGTTTTTGGGGCTGACTGACCTCTGACCTCCATCGTGCACTTCTTTATCTGAATGCTGGAATTCATCGTCTGATTTCACAATTTTAACAGCCGGTTAGATTTCTGGAACCAAATAGGAAGCTTTTCTGTTGTTTTAATCAAACCAGGCCGAGGCTGGGTTCATGTTCAGCCCACGCTGCCCTCTGCTGGACAAATGTTGGAGTTGCTTCTCAAGAAAGTTTCATTTGGTGGAACAGATTTTAAAATACTCTGCAAAATAGTCTCATTTTTAAACCAGAAAATTTGTTGTAAGTCTTTATTTTACTGTTTCGTCTTATATATGTGGGGAAATAAATCATCCGACTGTTTGTCTTGGAGTCAGAAGTTCTTGTTTTTAAGAGAAGGACCTTCAGACATCAGCCGTCTTTTAGTGAGTCTCTGAGAGAAACACATTTAGAGTCAGGACTTTTCTTCTGTTTTTCTCCAGACAGGTGAGATGCCTCCGAGCCTTTGACCTTGTGTTTACCTGTTTGTTTGTGTGTCAGGAGGGAGGAGGACGAGGTGTCAGTGTCAGCGGCTGCCTCCCTGGTTCCCAGCTCCTCCTACTACAACACATCGGCTCCCAAAGCCGAGCTCCTCATCAAGATGAAGGACATGCAGGAGCAGCTGGAGGAGCAGGACTCTGAGGATGAGCTGGATGTGGACCTGGCCAGTAAAAAGGTGAAACTCGTGAATTAACTTGCATGTGCAGAGCTCAGCCTGTCAGTCTCAGAGGAAGGAGAAAAGAAAGCAGTCTGTAGAAAAGCATTTTTAAATTTCTTTTTTAATGTCTTCTGCTTCCCTCTGCAGCAAGAGCTGATCTCCAGCCTGGCGAGGAAGCTGGAGGTGCTGCGAGAGGCCCGTCAGAGCCTGCAGGAGGACGTGGAGGACAACGAGGCTCTGGGTCGCGAGGTGGAGGCCACCGTGCAGCGCCTCTGTCAGCCCAACCAGCTCGACAAGTTCCGGATGTTTGTGGGCGACCTGGACAAGGTGGTGAGCCTGCTGCTGTCGCTGTCGGGGCGGCTGGCCCGGGTGGAGAACGCCCTCAACAGCCTGGAGGACGAAGCCCCGCCGGAGGAGAAGGTAACCACACTGGTCGGGAGAAGGACAAAGCTTCATTAACTCACTGTTTAGCTATTTGTAGATTTACCCTTTAGGTTCACTGTCACTCTTCTCATATCATTTTTTAGCAGAAACGATCTTGGCGGATTTCTTTAGATTTTTGTGTTTGAGGTCGAAGCAACTCAAACGCTGTCGATGAGCCTATCAAAAGCTTCCAAAGCCATGACATCATCATCTGGGCTTTCCCAGGTAGTCTGAAGGATCTTAGTGGACGTAAACTTCTGACTTTGAAGAAAGTCATGAAAAATCCTCTCTCTCATTATTCTGGCGTTTATCAAATAGAGATAATGTTGGTGATCCTGACTGAGCTGAAACAGGAAACGTTTAGTCTGATTTCATGTCAAATAGTGAGAAAAAAATAAAGGTTTTATATCTTCTTATACAGTAAACTTCTGGTTTCAGCTAATAATAACTCACATACTTCCTCCATCAGCGAACCCTGACAGAGAAGCGGAAGCTGCTGATGCGGCAGCACGAAGACGCCAAGGAGCTGAAGGAGAACCTGGACCGCCGCGAGCGTCTGGTTTCGGGCATCATGGAGGCTCACCTGGACGCCGAGAGCCTCGACGACTACAGACACTTTGTCAAGATGAAGTCCGCCCTCATCATCGAGCAGCGCAAGCTGGAGGACAAGATCAAGCTGGGCGAGGAGCAGCTGAAGTGCCTGGTGGACAGTCTGCCGCTGGAGCAGCGGCCGCCGCTCTGACGGTGAAGTTCGGACGCCAGTAAGTCGGAGGAGAATCCCTTCACTTAAAGTTGTAGCATTTTTAATATGAATCTTCTTGTTAAATTGCGTCTGAGTTCATGGCTGATGCTGTTGTTCGTCACCAGTTAATGTTTCCCGTGTGGCTTTTCAACCAAATCAGAAGATGTAGAGAGAATTTTTAAAACACGACGGCGTCATTGAGGCTGATTTAAACATAATTAGACAAGAACACAGGTGTCGTGTTGTCATTCAGCTGATGTGATGATGGGTTCATCCAGACGGTGTTTTTGAGTTTATTGTTTTTTACAACTTTACAGAACTGAAAAAACCTTTTAGATCTGCAGGTGAAGCTCCAGAGTTCTCAGAAAGCTGAAAAGGAAAAAAAAAAAGTCTCAGAATTTGAGTTTCATCTTTAACTGCACAGAGTTGGACAAGCAGTGGGTTTTACTCTCAGACATTCGGCTGGAAGAACAACGTTTTGTGGACTCAAGAGACGAAGCAAATCGACGGTTTGATGCCGAGGCTTTGGTCGTTACTTGTTATTTATGTCGACGGTGTTTGATGACCTGGCCGCCCGCTGAACCCGGCTGGGCTCGTTATTAATCATCAACACGTGTGTTTTAAGTTTTAAATTAATATTTTCTAGTAATTTATTGTAGCCTTTTTTGAAGACTTATATGGAGAAAGAAGTAATTTAATTTCACCTCTTTGTTTTCTAATAAAAGCAAATAAAGACTCCAACACGGTATGAATCTGTTGTAGATGATGATGATGATCTTGTCAAACAAGACATGAAGTTCCTTCTTTTACTACGAACCATCGCTTCCCTTTGTGTAGTGTGTTATTCTGTCTCAGCACTTTTGCATTAAGATAAATGTGTACTTTTGGAGTGTAACTCTTACATTTTTTTGCTAGAATAAGAAGCAAATTTGACAATAACTGGACTTTATTCTCATGAAGACGATGCTCCAGCAGGTCACACGTCGTTGAACTTGTGAATCGATTCGCTGGATGATTCACTCGTGGCGCTTTTCAGCCGAAGCGCCGATCCGAAAACACTGAATAATGTACATTTTCTGCTCTCGGAGCGAACGACTGAGGCGCAGCTGGTGTTTGTGTGGAGGCTGACGGACAGGTTAGCACTTTACTCTGGTCTGGTCCTTTCAGGAGACTCTCTGCACACGTATTTATCTGAAGACTGTCGCCTCCCGCCGCCGAGCTCTCCGTGGACTGATGTGTACACTTCATGCATGCAGTGAGCTCTTTCACCAGCCTGAAGGCAATAAAAGGATGAAGCTGAGTTGTTGTTTTTTCTTTTTTTTTAGAACTAACACGGTCTTAAAAAGCTTTGAACTGAAAAAGAAAGAACTTAAAATGCTTTAACAAAGTCTTAATAAATCTGTTCTGCTGAACTGGCTCGTTGTGACGGCGGTTCGTCTGCAGGACGCTGTTTTTGTGCCGTTTAATTTTCTTCTGGTAAAAACTGTTGCAGGATGTTGTCAGTTTAGAACGTACGTGTCGAGATGTTAGCAAAAAAGAAAATCCCACAAATGAATCACTTTTAATCGGTTCTGTTACTTTGTGCTGCTGCTCATCTGGGTCCCGTCACAACAACCCACATTTAGTTGTGATAATTAAGTGTATCAGTGGAAATTGGAACGCATGAATTTCTACAAACTGCTGCCACGTGCAGCTGTACAAACATGACGCTAATTCAGACTTTATTTTCCCAGTTTAGGAATAAAAAAAGTGTTGAATTCCATCATGCATAGTATGAAAAAGATGTCAAATATCTTTCACCTGGTGAATGCTGCAGCAACTCGTATTTTAATACTTTAAATACATTTACATGAATAAATTACCTTTTTTATTTATTCCTGTAATTGTTATTCTACCCAGAAAAGGAAAAAAAAACACTTTAAATCCTGAAAAGCTTCAACTTGGATTAGCGAAACGTCAACTATGAACTGGAAATAAATAAATGAAAGAATAAAAGAATATTATCATTTGCTTTACACATCAGGGTTTGCAGATTTTTTTTAATCTAGCTCCATTTTGAAAGCACCTCTGGAAGATTTCTGCAGCTGTTTTCTATTAAATTCTTGTCTTCTGGTGCTTTGAACATCCTCCAGCGCTGATGTTTCCCAATTTATACGTCGATGAGAAGATTTCTTATTAAAAGGTGAGTTTGTGTCGTTAGTTTCCTTCCTGTATAAACGCCCGAGTGAGAAAAGTTTCCAGATGTTTGTGCTTTTCATTTAACCTTCGACGAGTCACATCATCTCAGTTAAACAGTAAATGTAGATAATCCTAAAGGAAAATGTCGAGATTAGTTAAAGACCCATCCATCTTTGCACGTCAGCTGAACAAAAACATCAATGCAGGAGGTAATGTTTTATTAAATTCTGCTCTTTTTTTCAAATATAGGGGAATAAGCGTCTGCTGTTCCAACACACGGCGCCTCAACAACCGCATGGACGTCATAAAAACCACCCGGTAAGCATTTTTATTGGGGATGAACAGTAAAGTTCTGCCTTATCTCAGACCAGAAAGCACATCGAGTCATTGATAAGTAACACATTTGCGACACCGAGAGTTAGTGGATGTCGAAGCTCCTTCTGAAGGACTCGGGGAAGTTGTTTTTGGGGAGGAGATGCCGAGTCGCGTTGATGAAAAATGGTGGAACGTCAAGTGTCCGGTTACAGCTGGAAACGACAGGTTTCGACACCTGACGAGAACGTGACTCGACTCGATGTTTGAGTCACGAGTTGCACTGACTTTAGTTTTTGTCGCACAGTTGACTTCAGGCCACGTTCACACGTAGCCGGGCATTTACAAAAACGGATCTACGTTTTCACAAACAACATTGTTCACATCAGAAAAGAAAAAGGTCTTTGTTCGCCCAAACCTGCGCAACACGTCGTCAAGAGCCGCTATGAGCTGCCAGACCTGTAGGGGGCAGTGTAACGAGAAGCATAAAGCCATGCTGGCCAATCAGAATCCTGGAAAAAACAACAAATGGCGCGAATTACTTCCTGTTACGTCAACGACAATGATGAAGCTTTCTACGCATACTGTGACGTCAAACTCCGTCTACATGCAAACGTAAAGACGGAGTTTTTCCAATATGATGGTTTTCGGTGACTTGTAGCTTCGTTTACGTGAGAACCAAATGTCACCGTTTTCGCTACGGGGCCTAAATTTAACCCAGTTTTAAACGTTTTCTCTAAAGAATTGGACCATTTTCATGCATATTTTTGCATTTGTGCAGTTCTTCTGTGAGAATTACTGTCGTGTGGCTGGTAAATGCTGACAAAATGTGATTAAACTTGACTTTAATGATCCCACAGTGGAGGAATTTGCAGCAAAGATGGTGCAAACATTTAAGGAATGTGGTACAAAAATAAAGCAAAATATACATAAGCTATAGGTATAGAATTAATAAGGTTGCACACATTAGCGGCATAGCACAGATGTCTTGCATGAAAAGTAGTAAATTCTGCAACTCGTTTATTCTGATAAAACATTTAATTATATCAATGTGGGAGGAAAGTGTTTCATTTTCTGGCACAAGAGCAGTTGAATAATTCTGCCAGATTCTCACTCGGAGCGGATCGGACGGCATTTTGCTGTTATTTCTAAACGTTGGATGAACAAAAATGTTAATTCGGGAGATGAAACTCTGACAAAACTGGTTGAATAATTAAACTCGATGAATGTGAATCAAGCAACATTTCAGATCCACAGAGTTAGAATTAAATCCATATAATCAGTGGAATAACACCATCCTGTTAGGAGGTCAACACACCACGTCTATGGCGAGCTGGTCTGGATATATAAGACAGACATCCGCACTTTAATTCTTCCAAGTCAAACATTTCAGATATCCACGACGTCATCCCTCTGAGGACCAATGACGTCACTCTCCCCGTTGATGTGTTCGGGGTTCGTCATGACAGATATCTTTAATTCAATTATGGATTTCCACAACTAGATTATGACTGATTCCATTTAGAGATATCTACAGTTGGTCACAAGATTGCAGATATCTGTAGTTACAATACTAACAGGGCTTGCCATACACGGACCAGAGGTGGGAATAAAAGCAAAGATCTCTGCTTTTGACCTTTGAAGCGGCCGTCTGGTTACTGTTGGTGTGTTTGCTTTGGTTGGGTTGGGTTTGGAGCACAAAGACGCAGGTGTTGTATCGGGATGCATTTCTCTCCAGGAAACATGTTTGAAGCGGGTGTTTCGTAATCATCCGTCGTTTCCGGCTCTTAACGAGCTGCGATGACGCGTCTCGCTCAGCCCACCGAAACTGAATTTCTCTGACTTTACAGCTCTGAGCGGGAACGTTTTACAGCCTGGACTTTACTGCCCCGCTGGAGACTCCATCAGGGCGCTAGATTTAGCTTTTAGGGTGTGTTCTCCTTTATGGAATCAATTCCATTTTCCCTGCCAGATGTTTTCAGGATGTTGTTTTTTTCTCGTTCCTGAGCCAAGATTTTAAAGTTTAATATCTTGGATGGAGTGTTAAAGTTCCACAGATGCAAAGTCATCAGCTGCACTCATTATCCAGTCATTAAGTTCATGTAACTCCTGATAAACTGAATTATTTAACTTCCTCATCTGCTCTGACAAGTTTTGCACATTCTAGTTTAACCTTTCTGAACAGAAGTGTCAAATTTTGCCAACTTAACGTAAATTCTTTCATCTGTTTGCCAAAGTAGTGCAAAATGTGCAGCCGTACGCACTTTAAAATCACATCAGTGCAACTTTTTAATCTGCTCACACGTCTAAAAACACAATATTTCCTTTTTTAGGACTCATGATTCGTCAGAAACCAAATTTAATTGTGTTTTTCATCGTTGTAATGACATTAAATTGTCAAAACATGATAGTTTTCATTAACTTTTTAATCAAAATACACATTTAATAAATATAAACATGCATTTTCTGCTCTGATGACTGACAACGCTGCTGTATTAAATCACCTAAACACCAGTTTTCCTTTTTTTGGATTGAATTTCAGCAAATTTCTGGGGAAAAAGCCGATGCAAAGTCACTAGCTGCACTCATTGTCCAGTCATTAACTCGTGATAAACTGGAGGTAAATTCAATTATTTCAGTTCCTCATCTGCTCTGATGAGTTTTACACATTATATAGTTTAACCTTTCTGCACAGAAGTGTCAAATTTTGCCAACTTGACGCGAATTCTTTCATCTGTTTGCCAAAGTAGTGCAAAATGTGCAGCCGTGTGCACTTTAAAATCACATCAGTGCAACTTTTTAATCCCTTGATTACTCAGAAACCAGATTTAATTGTGTTTTTCATGGTTGCAATGACATTAAATTGTCATAACATCATACTTTTCATTAACTTTTTAATCAAAATACACCTTTAATAAATAAAAACATGCATTTTCTGCTCTGATGAATAACAACACAGCTGTACTCGTCCCTTTCTTCGAAGCTCAGTCATGAATTTCAGCAAATTTCTGGTGAAAAGAGCCGATGCAAAGTCATGTCAGGACACAAGTTAGAGATTTAATTAGCATTTAAACGCAGTGAAACCACATCCGGCCCTCGACTCGGCACAGAAACTGAAGTGAAGTCACCTGAAAGAGCATAAAAAGTGAACGTGGTGATGGCAATCAGAGCAGAGGCGTCGTCGCGTCAATCATTTACAGGCTGGCGGTCATGATGGGAAGCGGTATCTAGGTTACTGGTGGCACCATGAGGAAGTGTTGTGGAGGAGTGTCGGCCAATCATAGCGACTAAAGAAGCAGCTTCCTGTTCATTGTCTTGGAGCTCCGCGGGTTGGAAGCAGCTCGACGACAACAAGCTCTCAGGTAAAAAACACAAAGCGTTTCACTGGAAAATCTGCTTTAACTTGAGCCGTACGTGGTATTTATAAAATGTATTTAATGTATTTTCAACACAGTTTTTCTTTAAAATTGATTATTTTAGATTGATTGTGTTGAACTACAGATTGTATATTTAGGATTTTAGCTGCGCTTCGTCTTCTTATCAACTGAGAAAATGTAAAATAATTCTAATATTTTTCTCTGACAACTTTTATACGTTTTAGTTTCTAAGAGGTTATTCTAGTTCGTTCATCACGTCCAGGCTTAAAAATAAAACTAACTTTCCTTCATTAAACAAACCACGTCAGATAAATATGAGTTAATACACATATGAAGAGAGGATGGACGGTGTTTACTGCCTGTTTACTGCCTGTTTACTGCCTGTTTACTCCGTCACGCTCTCCCACCGTAATGAAAGTCAAACATTGTGCATCAATATTTGATGAACGTAATAAGTTCAAAACAAATCTCTGTCCCATCGTGTAATAAAACTGCTTCCATCATCTACACTCACAGCATCTGACTTTCCCATCGTGCTGTTGAACATATTTTATAGTTCGATTCGCTTTTGAGAAATGTAACCAAAGGAAACGTGTGTTTGGGTCTCGGCTGCTCTAAAACGGGTCGCACCAGTCACATGCTGAAGAGGTTCAGAGCTTCATAAAGTTTTTATGGTCATTTTCAGCCTGTTTTTGTTTTGTGTCACCGTGTCGTCGTTACAGTCACCGTGTGGTCATTTCAGGTCTTCTTCTGGTTATTTTGCATCACTTTATGGTGGTTTTCTGTCACTTTTTGGTCAGTTTGACTCATTCGGTGGTCATTTTGGGTGTTTTCGAGGTTGTTCTTTGCCAATTTGTGGTAGTAAAGTTAGTTTTTGTGGCTTTTTTTTTTAGTTTTATGGTTGTTTGAGTCATTTTGTTTCCCTTTGTGATTGTTTTTTGTCACTTTTTGATCAATTTGTGTCTTTGTGTTTGATTTTTTGGTGGTTTTGGTGCTTGTCGTGGTTGTTTTTCGTCATTTTGTGGTCGGTTTGTCTCCTTGTGGTTGTTTTTTATAAGTTTTTGCTCAGTGGGAGTCCCATCGTCTCCACTGTGGATGATTCTGTTTCTCATCGTGGTTGTTTTGCATCATTTTGTGGTTGTTTTTAGTTCCTCTGCAGTCATTTTGTCTCTGTGACTGCTTTTTTTCATTCGTTTTTGGTCACTTTGATTCACTTTGTGGCTGATCGTGTCTGTTTTTGATGATCTGGAGTCTTTTCGTGGTCGTTTTTCACTATTTTGTGGGACTTGTGTTTCACTTTGTGGTTGTTTTCGGTGTGTTTGTGGTCGTTTTGTGCTTCTCTGTTGTCATTTTGTGTCCCTTTGTTGTTTTTTTTCTGGAACATTTTGCTTCGTTTGTCTTTTTGCAGTTGGTTTTCTTCACTATTTGGTCAGTTTGTCGTCAGCTGATCGTGTTGTCAGGGCCGGTGGCGCCCATTCAGGAATCCATCCAGGATGATAACTGATGGAGATGCTTGTTGTCTCAAGTTGCCTTTATTTTAAGATGACATAAAGAGGTTTTCAGTGATGCTCAGCGAAGAGATGAGATCATGAGGAAACACCAGATGAGATCAAATAAGCTGAATAAATAAATCAATAAAATAAAAGAGAGAGAAATAAAGTCAAAATTTAAAAAACAGAATAAGAAATGATAAAAGTAATAAACAGTAGAATAAATGGACTAAAATATGTAAATAAACAGAGAACTGAATAAATC